CAAATATAATGATTTAATCATGAAGACCTAAATATCTCTAAATAAAATAGAAATTAAATTCCTTTGCTCTTATCCAGTTATTTCTAGAACCACTATAGCCATATCATTTAATATGTTTTAGGGTTCTTTGGATATCTGGCATATCTTATTATACATTTCTTGTATAGAGTTTTGGCTTCATTAAGATGAAATAACCCCTCAAGTTTTTAGTCAAAGACTAATTCTAAGCAAAATATGAAAGATATTTATTCAAATGTAGGATTGTTTTAGTCCTTTCTAGGATTTGAAGGAGTTTTTGTATGCCCCAAGTCTGTCTTAGATATATTTTTTCACAGCAAGAGAGTGGTTGTTTTGGGGGGGAAAAATCAGAGTAAGGATTTTGGGTGATCTTTTAAAATTGTGCTATCTTCAGCATAACAGTAAGGAAGCAAGCAACTTTTTCTAAAGTCACTATTCCAAATTTCACAACTGAAACCAAATCTTCATGGCCCTTCCCCCACTCCAAGTCCTTGACTGTATAGGACTCTTTGCTGAGAACTAGTGAGCTAGAAATCAAGATCTTTGTAATCTCTTAATTCTATCGTTTCAAATGATGCCAATTTAATAGAATGGCATTCTCATTTTCCTCATTTGCTTCATTTTCTTCATTTGCAAAATTACTTTATGATAGTGGAGGGAAGCTACATTTGAAGAATGTTTATTATGTGCTTTGAGATCATTAAAGCTGGTATCACTTTGCATACCAAGTGGTAGTATTTGTATCCTTAATATACTGAAGTTCTGGTACAATCAACTTTTAAAAAATAACATATCATGACCAACAATTTATGCATAATTCCATGATGTAAATGTGTCTGCAGTAATTACTCCGTCCTCTGAAATCCTGACACGAGCACTGTCTGTGCCACTCACATTGGGACTTAGTATAAGCCATTTTCTATTGTTATTTATCCTTATATGCATATGTCCTATTTATCCAAACAGATTTTGAGTTCTTGAGGATGGAGGCTGTGTATCCCTAACTTCTAGCAATTTGCCTTGTACTGAATGGATGCTTTGATTAAAAGTCATTGCTGATGATTAGGAGGATGTTCAGTCCTGAACATGTCCTCTCAGTCCCCTAAATGGGGAATTATTTGTGGGTCTTATTCTGTAATTGGAAAGGTGGTACTATCAAAGAGAGGGAAGCAAAATGTCACTTATTGTCTCTTGCATCTTTGGTAATCACCCCATGTACATGTGAGGAGAACTGAAAAGGAAGAAGCTGACAATATTTAACCATCAAATATGTTTTGCTGATGAGGTATCTATCAATAAAGCATAAAGCTATCCATTAATCATCATCATATTAATTTGGTTATTATTAAAGCCAAATATGATTTGGTTATTATTAAAAGGCTGGCAATAACTAAATTAAAATGTCTACAGTATTTACTTTGCCTAGTTATGAGTGGTTTTAATTTGATTCTTTGTTATCTTTATTTGTCCTAAATTCTCCACAATAAATTTGTATTATTCCTATAATCAGAAAAAAAGTGAAATTCTGAAAAGGTTTTGTTCTAGTAAAGAACAATTCTAGTAAAGAAAAGTATGGAAATGCTTAATAGTATCAATGCCATTCTACATATGAATTTCTCATTTGAATTAAAATCTAACACTCTTAAATCTTACTGCCATAATGAGCATCAACAAGGGGGAAACAATTGACAATATTGGAAAGGAGAATACTTAAATAAATTTAAACACTGCTCCTTAAAACTCTCTTAAGATGTTTTAAATTAGCATGACAGTACTCCATTTAACTAAAAACTGAAAAACAAATGTTTTCCCTCTTCATCTCTTATCAGCAGAGTTTGGAGCTTGTATATACCTGCCTCCATCTTCGGAAGAACCACACAAGAACACAGACCAAGATTCCAAGCCCAAAGGAAAATCATTGTTAAATTAATGCCAAAAAGCCTTAAAGAATATGGCTATTCTACATTTGTCATTGGGCATGCTCATATAATTTCCTGGGCATACATTTGCTACCAGCAAGAATTCAGATGGACTCTTATTAACTGCAAAAAAGTTTGAGGCATATTTCCCCAGACAGGTACTTGAGGATACTTTTCATTGACAACACTAGCACACTTCATTAAGACTGCTTTTGTGCCCTGATATTTTTCTTCAAAAAAATATGACCCAGTGGAGAAGAGAGATTTCAAGAAACATTCCCTTAGTAGGATTCTAAGCAAAATGGAGACCAACAGCTCTTATCTAAACCTGTCATGTTTTCTGTAAATTCTTCCTTCATACCCTCACGCTGACATCTGTCACACAGGCAAAACATGATATAGAAAGAGCGCATTAGCATGGCTTAGTATCAAATCCTTTATGTCTGTTATTAGTTCTACATCACTTTAGATTGTCATCATGAGTTGTTCAATCAAAAGATTTACTCAAAGCTAACATTCTTTACTGATGTCTTTTTTCCCCCAAGAGTGTTGAAAATTCGATTGTTCAAAGTGCAAATATGATTCAACAAACCATTTATCAGAAATTCTAAAGAGGTAATGTAAAAAAGTGGATTGAGAAAGCTGAATTAAATGGGCATTACCAGTCAAAGATTTTGAAACTACTTTCCTGTGAGTGACTGGAATGGAGCAGAACAAAGTCAATTACTGACTGTAATTAAGAAGTGGATGCATTTAAACTGTAGAGAGCAGTAGCAGACTTCTCCAGACTGCCTGGTAACTCAAAAGATTAGTGGGAAGACAGAGTAAAGGATGTGAACTGTATCTCTCTGATAGTATGTTTTGAATGAATTGTATTCATGTAGTTCTCTGATCTAGCTTCCCAAAAATGAATTTGTAAATCACTGATTATGTATGATTAATGCGGTAATGTATTTGGACAAAGAAACTTTTAAAATGCATTTTGCTTTTCCTTGTGTTAGCAGTAAAAGATCTCCTTTGCATTGCATAGCATGCACCCAAAATGCAAATGTTCTGCTGAAGTACTTATATTTTATCACTGTTTGAATTTACTACAATGAAAACTGAAATATGTTGGCTCTTTTTTAAACCCTCAGAATACAGTAAATCTAATTATGTTTGTTTCTTGTACTTTAAAAATGTTGTTCCTTTTTATAATTTTAATAATGGTTTATTTATACTGGCAGAGAAATATTCTATTAGAGTGTACATTATGCTTGGGCTAATTCATTTTTCTTTGTGTATGTTAACAAAGTGTGACGTTATATAATACATTCATAATCAAAATATTTAAATTTAGATTAGGATAAAGGTAGAGGTCAAGGACACTACCAGTTTTCTTGTGTTGGTTAGAAGTGACTTTATATTTTTAGATTACTATTTCTGAGGCAACACTTTATTAAACAAATATTTGGAACTTGATGTAAGTAAAGAACATTGCAATGGTGTTCGGATAATTAGGCAAACATCAGCTTAGCTGTCTTTTACTAGATACATAAAACAGAGGACTATTTTGAGCCATCCCAAATCTTACATGCAGTTTTATTTTTTTAAAAAAAGAGAGAGAGAGAATGATTGGCTCTGGTAAAATGCCAAATTCTAATGTGGGTAATTAAATCCTATTATTTTCCAGTCTTTCACTTCTTATAATTGCATACACTTTGGACATTTCTTCTCCTCATGGTTGTAGAGACTGAACTTGATATTCGAACCCATTTGCTCAAGAATGGTTAGTACTGAGTAATGTAGCATCTCTATAGAGTTTTTCTGAAAATAAATGACAAATGAATATATATGCACATGTGTAACCAAAGATTTCTTCAAAACACCAAATCATGACCATTAAATGTTGCCGTAAGAGTCACTAAAACCTTCAGAGTGAGCAGTTTTGGGTCATAATAGTCACTTTAAGGTCAAAATTACAGAGACAGCCTGAAGCATGATTTGTGGTTTTCTGGACCTATGCCACATTTCAGCATTCACCTCCTCTTTAGAGCAAGTACAGCTGAATAAAGGTGACTGGCTCCTGATTGAGTATTTTGAAATGTCAGTCCTCTAAACCTCTGAAGCCTTATTTGATGTGTGACAGTAGTCGGGAATGTTCATCTTCCTGTTGCTACAAAAAGTCAATAATACAAAGAGAAAATTTCACAGTTCAGATTGATGGCCTAATACAAAAAGCGTGTCCACACCCACTCTAATCAAATTCTTCTCTAAGTAGCCTCTTATGTGTGAAACCAAGAGCATTGCTCTGTTTCTTTAGGGTCACATCCTTCTCTCACAATTCTGGGGAGAAAAAGATTCACTGTAATGAAAAATGTAGAGTTACCCCCTGAACATTGTCAACTACTTAACAGCTCCAAGAGTTAGAAAGCTGGATGGTCATTTGATAAATTCTCTCTGTGAGAGGTTCAAATATGTAAATGAACTTGTATTCTAATACACTCTCTTTGCGGGGAAAGTGGTCCTTTATTACTTTCCTATAGATCTTTGTGATAGGAAAGTAGAAACAGCCAAATGTTATTCATCTGAATGACCTTTTGGATAAGTCTGCATCAGTCTTTTTCGTAAATAATCTGTTTTAGAGCCCTCTGTAAAAGGAAATCAAATATAGAGATACTATTAGATTTGAAAAAGACAAACAGGAAAGAGCCGAAAGTGCAGAATGAATTCTGACACACCCGGGTGCATTTTTCTGCGGGTTCTGACTTAAGTGTGCACCGTCTGCATTACTCTGAACTTCCTGGCTTATTTCTTCTTAAGTCAGAGTAATTCAGCTTTAGCCCTACTCTGAGTTAATCGTTCTATTATTAAAACAATAATGTATTTGTTATGACATGAAAAAGCAGTTTATAGAGAGCAGTTCAAAATGATCCTAGCCTTCCAGTTCCCAGAAAGACAATTACTGGAAAATAAGAAAATATTTCAGTGTATAAAACTGTGTTTTTTTTAAGGCTGTATTTTTTAAATGTGAGAAATCTATTTTACATGGTTTCCTTACCTGTCGATTTTTTTTTTTTCCAGATCACAACAGTATCAGGAAATGAGTTCCTTCTACAGTCAGATATTGACTTCATCATATTGGATTGGTTCCATGCTATCAAAAATGCAATTGACAGACTGGTATGTATTTGTTTTGGCTGTTACCTTTATTAATTAAAATGTAGTCATTTAAATCTTATTGCTCAGGCATGTAACACACGTGCATTTAAATAGATCCTATGGACTGAAAGATATTGGGTTCTTTTAAGTTTAAACAGAGACCACTAAAAACCTTTTCAGCAGACAGGATTTGTGGAACTAAATGTCATTTAATTTCTCTCTTTCAAAAACCTAGAGCATTCCTTTTGATTTTTCTTCTGAAATAACATGGACATTCATTTACTGGAGGCTATAAAAAGCACACAAGTACTTAATAACTACTGAATTTTTACGTTTTCAGTTTATGCACTCTATAATACATATTCTTGAAAATAAATACAAATGTATTTAAGACCATGCTCACTGTTATAATACCAGTAAACAATAACTCTTTGTACTGATTTTTATTGTTCTTCCAGCTAACCTAGATTGTCCTTCTTATGAAAATTACATATCTAGAACTTCATGAAATTATCCCACAACACACATTCAAAGCATGGTTTTTAAAAGAGCCAAATTATTTAAAACTACTCATTTCATACTGACTCTAGACTAAACATCTAATTTTAGGACACTAATATTTGCAAAATCTTGAGGAAAAATTATTCTTGAGAGTTTTAAACATGGTATACAATAGGAAAATACAACATTGTCTTTGTGATGTTATTAATATTTAATTGTTGTATTTCATTATATCATTTGGGGACTAAAACTTTAAAACATAAAATAACAAATTGACTTTTTCCCATCATCAATACAGTCTCCTTAGAGGTAGGAATGTGTGTGTGTGTGTGTGTGTGTGTGCAGATTCACACACATTCACACACACACAGTTTGTTGCCCTTAAGAGTGAACTCTGGGACCAACAGAATTGGCTCTATTGTTTATAAGCTGTGTGACCATAGATATCTAGAACTTCATGAAATTATCCCACAACACACATTCAAAGCATGGTTTTTAAAAGAGCCAAATTATTTAAAACTACTCATTTCATACTGACTCTAGACTAAACATCTAATTTTAGGACACTAATATTTGCAAAATCTTGAGGAAAAATTATTCTTGAGAGTTTTAAACATGGTATACAATAGGAAAATACAACATTGTCTTTGTGATGTTATTAATATTTAATTGTTGTATTTCATTATATCATTTGGGGACTAAAACTTTAAAACATAAAATAACAAATTGACTTTTTCCCATCATCAATACAGTCTCCTTAGAGGTAGGAATGTGTGTGTGTGTGTGTGTGTGTGTGCAGATTCACACACATTCACACACACACAGTTTGTTGCCTTTAAGAGTGAACTCTGGGACCAACAGAATTGGCTCTATTGTTTATAAGCTGTGTGACCATAGGCAAATTACTTTTCTTTTTTGGCCTCAATTTCTTCATCTGGAAAATAGAAATGATGATAATACTACCTACCTTGTAAGATTGCTGTGATGATTACTTGAATTAATGCATATAAAGAGCTTGGAATAATGCACAGCACTTAGAAAGTACCATATACATATATAACCTATAATTAAGTGTGAGTGTTGAGTTTAGTATACAGGCTCTATCCAAAAATAATTATCTTATTTCAAACTTCCCCTTAAATTCAACATCAAAATAAACTACAAAACTATTTGCTGTATCTTCTCTCTCTATTAAAACTATTTGTTTTAATTGTTTGTTGTGATGATGATAATACTACCTACCTCGTAAGATTGCTGTGATGATTACTTGAATTAATGCATATAAAGAGCTTGGAATAATGCACAGCACTTAGAAAGCACCATATACATATATAACCTATAATTAAGTGTGAGTGTTGAGTTTAGCATAGAGGCTCTATCCAAAAATAATTATCTTATTTCAAACTTCCCCTTAAATTCAACATCAAAATAAAATACAAAACTATTTGCTGTATCTTCTCTCTCTATTAAAACTATTTGTTTTAATTGTTTGTTGTTTCCAGCCAAAGGCTCCAAGTTGTCCATCAAGAAACCTGGAATTATTTAAAATCCAGAGATCCTCCAGTACTGAATTGCTAAGTCACTATGACAGTGATATAAAAGAACAGAAGCCAGAGCACAGAAAATCTTTAAGTGAGTATTTTCTTTGACTTAGTCATTTTAATTTTGTCTAAATGCAGTGCTTATGAAATATAAATGCTTGAAATAAGATGTAAGCCAAACTCATACTACTCATGGAAGATTCATAGCCATAAAAGATTTTTCCATATGATGATACAGTTTGAACTTATTTAATTTAAAGAACATTTCCCTTTCATTCCTGGTTATTGTTCCCTTTGACTTCATATGGGATCAGATATATGGTAAGAATTCAGAATTAGAATTAAGAAAAGATTTTTCCATATGATGATACAGTTTGAACTTATTTAATTTAAAGAACATTTCCCTTTCATTCCTGGTCATTGTTCCCTTTGACTTCATATGGGATCAGATATATGGTAAGAATTCAGAATTAGAATTAAGTTGTGAGTACATATTTAATACTAATTATATAAACATTTTATAGTAGATATTAAAAAATATGTGGTACAATAACTAGTAGATCTGCATTCTCAGCTATAATTTCTGGGAAGGAGATCTTGGCATGTTTCTAAAACCTGAAGCTATGAAGAAAAGGACTGCAAAAATGTGTTCGAGAAACACTGAGGCTAATAGATTCTGTATTGAGCCGCAGTCACTTAAAAATTTTTAGGATGCAATTGGGGGAAAAAAATCCTACAGATAGAATATCAGCTCCTTCTCTTTAGAACTTACTTTTAATTGGGAAAGACAATTATTTGTCTTAAAGTATTTGTCATAAATTGAGCTTAAATTCAATCCCAATTAAAGACAATGGAAGAAACACATGATTTATTCTAATCATTTCAAGATGTACCTAATTGTTTAATGATCTCGTATTCACTTTTTACTTTGAAGTTTAAAAAAAAAACTAGAAAATATTGATCACTTACTGTGCACCAGTACCTGTTCTCACTGTTTGTTTTATATAGACTCATGTAATCTTCCCACCAACCCTATGAGGTAGGTACTATTTTTTAACCCTGTTTTATAGATGAGGAAACTGAGGCCTAAAGAATTAAGGTAACTTGTACAAAGACTTGTTTCAAACCCAAGCAATCTGACTTGGGAGCCCGTGCTTTTAACCATTATACTATAGCGAAGTGAACACATAAAAGGTAAACTTAGTTTATAACAACCTTGGACTTGGGTAGAAATAATACATTAAAGTAAGATACATAGATATTAGTAAACTTAAATTGGGACCTAAAAACTTATTAGCAAAAGAATTAAAACCAGATGTTCTCTTTGGGCTTTGATTTCACTATTAAAATAAAAAAGTCATTTAATCTTTAATGCTAGCCCCAATTTTAGAAAATGCTTCTTTTTGTATCTTGGTGAATATATATAGTTAGAAGATTTTTTTAGGGCTAGTATATTTTTTGCAATGTAGGACAGAGTTGATATCTATCTATTACTCTGAATTAAGTTCATTCCATATGTATGTATTCATTTTCATCCGAAAGGCATAATGATTGACCCACCCACACAATATCAAATTAGACTATGCGTTTGAAATAGTGATTGGCATATTTTATATTTGATGCTTTTTAAAATGTTTTTTTAAGTAGAAAATACCCTGTGTGAAACTCCTCTGATCTCAGTCCTAGATTTGAACACCCAAACTTAGGTTTCTTAAAACATGCATTCAGTTTTATGTCACCCTCTAGAGATTAAATAATTATGTGGAATCAGAGATTCATAGTATCCTCTTTCTTATTAGTAGTCTAAGCACAAACTTTATTGTCGGTTTGCTGCTTTTGGCTTCCTATGCCCTTGATGTTCCCACGAGTTTTGTCGCCAAGATTGTAGGCAGATAAAGCCAGTATTACATTTTTAAAAGGCATGTGAACATCATTAGCAGCTAACAGGTGGTCATTTCATTGTCCAGTTTGTCTGTATAACATGGGAAAAATATGTTATCCCAAGGAGTGAATTCAGAAAGTTGTGTTTAAATATACTTTTCTTTTTAAAAATATGATTCTAACCTGCCAACACTATTAAGTACTAATCAGATTATTTTAAGATATCAGTTGAGTCTAACAGACAAGAAGCCAAAAATTCAATGTAAGGGCCAAATCACTGTGGGAAATTCAGGACACCAGCCTGGAATGAGAGTAGGAGAGCAGCTCTCCAGGGAGGGCTGTTATGGAAAGTGGAGAGTCAGTCAACGAAGATGCTAACATGTTTCTCCAAGGGAAGAGAAATGTCTTCCACTGATGGCAAGGGGAAGAAAAGCCCAAATACAAATCCTGCATCAGATAGCCTTGGAGACATTTTCTAACTTTTCTGAGCTTTATTTTCCAGATCTATAGAAATGCGTCTAATACTGTCCTTACAGGATTGTGTGAGAATTTGAAATTAGGTATATAAATACTTATCTCACAGCAAGCACTCAATAAGTAGGAGCTCTTATTATTATCCTCAATGTCCCCAAGCAGATGGCACCAAAACAAGGAATGAGCCAAGGGTGGTGTCTGATGGAAGACTGGAGCAAGGCATATATACTTGACACCCTGCTCCCTAAGTGTACAGAAAATAGGGGAGGAAAGCCGGAATTGGATATGGGAGTCATAGCTGCAAAAACCTAAATATGAGCATCTGGTCTTTCCCCTGGCGACTCCCCAGGTGCGAATGGCAGCCAGGGCACTCTTGGGAGCAGCATACCAGGAAACAGTAGAATGGAGCCAAGAGACACTTTTGATTTTTTTCTGCCCAGAAGAGCATGTCATTAAGGAGTTTTAGTTGATGGAAAGGATTCAGCATCTAGCCATTTCACTATTCCTTTAGAAAAAGCTCTAGTTTATTCATTCATGCATGCATTCATTCTTCCTTTTTTAAAAATTTTTTGTTGAAATGTATTGATTATACATATTTGTGGGGTACAGAGTTATATTTCAGTACATGAATACAGTGTGTAAGGATCAAATGAGGATAATTAGCATATTCATCATTACAAAACTTGATCATTTCTTTGTGATGAGGACATTCCATCTCCTCTCTTCTAGACATTTGATAACATGCAGTAAACTGTTGTTAATTACAGATGCCTAGCTTAACTGTACACCAACAGAACTTACTTTTCCTCTCTAGTTGTTTTGCTTCATTAACAAATACAACTAAAGGTGCACTATTAACAGTCTTGACTTCATTCATCGGTGCATTCAATTTTTTAAGAAATATTTTTGTATTTAGGTTATGCTTTAGTAGGAATATATCTCATGCCTATCAAGTACTAAACTGTAAAATCTGTAAGTGTGGAGAACTTGAATAACTTTTTGTGCATTCAATTTTTTAAGAAATATTTTTGTATTTAGGTTATGCTTTAGTAGGAATATCTCTCATGCCTATCAAGTACTAAACTGTAAAATCTGTAAGTGTGGAGAACTTGAATAACTTTTATATAAAATCGACATTTTTAGTATTATAAATAAGCATCCTAAAATGAACGTGAGTGAGAAAATAAAGCCAAAAGGTAAGAGTGCTAAAAGGAAATAGATTTCCCTTTAGCTGTCTTTTGATTAAGTTATCATAAAAAACAAATGTATTCAGGGTGAAATCCTAAAAGTACTTAGATGTGGATTTCTCAATTGCATGTCCCCTTTATGATATTTGTAATTAGGGTATCTGCAATATGTGTGTAATAATAAGGGTATATGTATTTAGATGTGGATTTCCCAGTTCCATATCCCCTTAATGATGTGTATAATAAGACTACAGGGATAAAGATAGGAATGAAAAACTCGTATTGAGATATTTATACAATGTAGAAAATGAAAATGCTGTAGACCTTTAACATTATCTTTGTTTAAATATTTGCCTGCAAAGTAGTCATAATCATGCCAAGTGAAAGCAAGTTAGAGAAGGCAGTAATTTTTTCTACTAATCTAAATAATTATAATACTGGCCATCCACAACTGTAAGTAGGCTATGTTCTCAAAATACAGTTGTAAACTGGTTGCTTAGACTTTTTTGACACGTTTTCACAAGGAGCCATGTACCAGGCCACAAAAGCACACTAGGGCCTTTTGCAATCATTTAGAACTCTGTTTCTATGGACAGCTCATTCTGAGTTTGCTGCACCTCTGGCCCTGAGAGCTAAGACTTCCCAGTAGCATTGCTTTCCATTTGACCTCCCATTTCCTTCTCCCCCTTTCCTGCACCAACTCCATCAAAGCAATTAGGAGTCTCAGAATGGCTTTGGCCGGGAAGCTCCTGGCCCCTGAAAATCCCTAGTGGTGGCAGGGAGGTAGTGAGGAGCCTCCAAGGCATTTCCTTCTCCCCCTTTCCTGCACCAACTCCATCAAAGCAATTAGGAGTCTCAGAATGGCTTTGGCTGGGAAGCTCCTGGCCCCTGAAAATCCCTAGTGGTGGCAGGGAGGTAGTGAGGAGCCTCCAAGCCAGAAGAAATAGTGAGAAAAGGAGAGAATGGAGGGTTGGGGAGAAAGTTTTCACAGCATGGGTGGGAAAGTGAGTCTTCAGCAAGGCAGATGTTTTTTGTAAGAAATGTGTGTAATGACAGATTAAGTCTGGCATTGTCCCAAATGTTAACATTTGATGAATCTAGGTGGTGTGTATACATGTGATCATGATGCTGTTATTTTATCCTTTCTGTATGTCTAAAAAGTTTTCCATTTAAAAACTGTAGTAAACACACACGTAACATTGGCTGTGTGCATAATTCAATAAAAGAATATACTTATTTTCTAATTGCAACTTAAAAACTTTTAAGAAAGAGCAAATTTTTTGAATATGTGTTAGATTAAGACATCCTTAAATAAAACATTGATAATTCATTGTTTTCCTACTTTTTCCTGAAAGCCAATTTTTTTTTCTTGTGACCATTGTGACCTTTCTGGTAAATATATAATTAAGAAAACTTGCAAAATGTTTATTATTATCCAAAATGGAAAAGTCATACTAGTTTCTTGGGTAAATATGTAATTAGCAATTGTTTAAAACACATACTGTGAAGTCTGTTCTGAAGTCTCATATAGATACTTATTTTAAAGTTT